CCCCAAAACCCCAAAACCCCAAAACCCCAGAGGAAGATCAAGACATTGAAGAGCAAAGATTAGGTAAAATATCCTTTAAATTAAAAAGATATGTAATTTTATCTTCAGAATTTCAGGACTGGCATCATTTTGCCATTGTCATAATGCTCAGAGATTCTTTCTCTACTACTAGAAATAAGAGTAGCCTTTCCATGCAATTTATCGTCCTTCCAATTTCCTTCATATCTTCTCCTTCTGCCTGGATCAATATAGACTCCAGAGCCATTCTTCTTATCATATTCCCAATGTCCTTCATGAGTCCTTCCGTCCATCCAAGTATATACTCCCTCTCCATGTTTTAAGCCATTCTGAAATTGTCCGACATATCTGTTTCCATTGGTATATAATTCAACTCCCTGTCCATGCTTCATGTTATCTTTATACTCTCCTTCGTAAGAATACCCGTCTAATTGTATGTAGAGTCCTTTTCCATTGATTCAGTCATTTCTCCATTTTCCTTTGTAAGTTGTTCCGTCCTTCCAAGTGTATAATCCATTACCATGGAACATCTCATTTACCCACTCTCCTTCGTATATATCTCCACTTTTATAATACCAAGTGCCATAACCTTCTCTTAGTCCATTTTTCCACTGGCCAATGTACTTTCTCCCATCCTCCCACAGATAAGTTCCTTGGCCATGCCTCTCCTCAGTGGCAGCTTTGACTTGTCCTTTGTAAGAGCTTCCATCGGAGTAAGTGACTTCTTTATATATTAAGAGATCTTCTTGTGAAACTTGCTCGGCTTTATTCTCTTCTTCCAGATTTGCCTCTTCTTTTCCGAAAACTTCCGGATACTTCTCTTCTTCTAACTGAATCTTCTCTAAGATAGGAGTATCTCTTGACACAGATGTTTCTAAAGCCAAGCTTTCTTTTTGGTCTCCAAAGTTTGATTGGGAAAAGATATGATGGTGCTCTTGCTTTAAATGCTGGTTAGATTGCATAGCTTCTTGGCTAGATTCATCTAATCTCCAATTCTGTTGCTGATCATCTTCTTCAGGATCTTCCACTTTATTTTCTTGCTGAAGATTGATAATTATTTTATCCTTGGTATCTTCATCATTTGTATCTTCTTTAGTTTCTTCTTTGGGAATAGTCTCATCTTCCTCTTGCTCATCAAGGTCTTCAGAGATTTGACTTTCCTCACTGCATAATTTATCATAAGTTTTCTTAAGATCTTTATATTTATCTTGCTCTTCTTTTAATCGGCACTTAAGCAGAGATACTTCCTTCTGATGTTCCTCTTCAGCCTTGTCTTTCTCCACCTGAAGTTCCATGTACTTATTTGATAGAAGCAAAAGCTTCTGTTTCACTTCTTGAATGATGCTCAAAGTGCTCTGTTTATCATTTTCACTTTCGTTTGGATCTTCAAGCAATAGAGCTCTATTGGTTTCAAATTCTTTATAAAAACTATTATTCTTAAGTGATGTTAAGATTTCATCAGCTTCTTGTAAAAAGCAACTAAATTCTTGGTTTGCCTGATCCAGCTGAGCTTTTTCCAAGTCAGCCTGAACCTTATTTGCTTGAGCTCTTATCTCATTGCTTAGGGCAAGGTGATCTTCAGGTATCTCCCCATTATGAGTCATCTTTGTAAATTCTAAGAAGTCTCCAACACAAATTAAAATAGTCTCTAGTTTGCTATCAACTTGATCTGAGTTAAGAAGATCACTATCATCGCTACTCGAAAGCTCAATTATCTTGTTTTCTTCTCAATTAGAAAGATCACCGTTTCCTTCATCGATATAGGAATGTAATTTTGTCTCGTAATCCAAAGATTGTCCAATTAATAGCTCCATATTTCTCCCTATTAATTATTCTCAACGGCTATCACTAGGCCTGGGGTTTTGGGGTTTTGGGGTTTTGGGGTTTTGGGG